AAATCGCGCTGGGAAGATCCGAGTGTTTGGACTGGGAAGAAAAGACACGACGAAAACAGTCCGAATTTTTTTGTCTGTATCAGTTTCCCCATGGATACCGGGAGCAAAGTGACTTAAAGTAGTTTTTTCGGCAATACACGTAACTAAGTGCTATTTGTCAGTTGTGAAGCGAAGTTATAATCTAATGAGCAACTTGGAACAATTTCGAAGCAAAGTGATATTTTATAAAATTGGTGGTTAAAAGGGATACAAATTCACACAAAAACGATAACTCGGAAACGTCAACTTTCAACGACCTTGAACGCCCGTTTGCGTGTAATGTCTAGCTGTTCGCTTCACAACCAGATCCCAATAATATCCGTCCATATTCTGATTCTTGGAAGTTACTCAAAATAGTCCTATATCATAATGGTGCGCTGGATTGTAATGATGAGAGACTAATCCTTCAAAAGGGTAAGATAAAAAGGAATTTCATCGGGAGAAAATCCGTTTACTATTAATATCATTCTCCTCTGTAGTCAAAATTCAAAAGCTTTCAGAAGGAGGTCAGCCGTACGAGTGGCTGAAACCGCTGACACTGGTGTGACTCCAGCTCTACCGTTTGAGCGACCAAATCCGCTTTGGCCAGTCGACCGAGATGGCACATATGTTTGCTCGCATCGGGCACGGTGTCACTCCAAGAAACCGGTAAGAGCAGCTCATGAAAAAATCGTGGAACTTTCTCTTCTTTACGNTATACTATTATACTATGATTTGTTTGGCATACAGTGTGGATTCAGACGTGTGTGAAGTAAACACACGCACACACACAGCTCCGGAATGGGTCAGTGTATCATGGGGCTTAGCCACATTACGGTACGGGAAATAGGAAATGACAACTGGTTTTACACTACTGATGTGACCTGCCAGCATATATATTTATAAATTACTGAAAAGATACACAGAAGGATTTATGGAATCAAAAGCAAGAGTCAGAATGTGTTGGATAGAGAGAGAGATATGAACTTACCGCCCATTCAGAACAACCGAGCCCATCGATTGCCAGGCATATAGCACGCTCCGTGAATTCAGCCGTCGGTTGCATCAAGATCGAGGAACGCATAATTGTACGAGTCATATTCAGCACAACCACGCAACGCTTTATTGAAAAGAATCCAAAGTACGCAAAGTAAACATTATTCGTTAAATTTTGAGATAATCCCGGGCAAAGGTATTGAGGTTGAAAAGATCTTGAAACGCAGTAAAACACCATCTATTAGAGTGATACCGTGCCAATGCTAAATTTTTCGTACAATTAGAAGTTTTTATGAATTCCATTGACGTTCCACTGAATGTTGATGCATAAATCAATACATTTATGAGTATTTAAAGCAAGATCAGTTTAAAGAATATTGGAGGCATCTTATCTGTATTTTGCTTGAAACCATCTCCTAATAACAGTGCATCAGAGGACTTTAGCAAAGGAAAGAAGGCATGATAAATCCGAGTTGTTTGGGCTGTATTCAGTTTCCTGGGGCACAGTGAATCGTAGTAGTCGAGGCCCCGAAGGAGTAAAAATCCGTAGCATATGTACTTTGAAATTCGTTAGTAGATGGCTCCACGAGAAGCCAGAACAAAGACACCTCGTCATCATTCAAGCCGATATCAAAGAGTCGTTTACCTGTATATATTTCCAAATTCAAGCAAACAGACTATAGTATGCAAAACCACGGACTACTTTATAGCACATCTGCTCCCGCCCGGTTTATTAGCACGCCAAACCCATTAAGACCCAAGGTGGTTGATCGTATCAAGTACCCGAGGTTTAGGTTGCTATACCTAAACAGAGTTCGTATGACCGTGGGTTTATCGATTTCTTTGTTCAGAACAGGGAAATGTGCAATAAAACACAGCAACGATCTACCGCATGAAGTATCAATTGCGCTAAACAAAAGTCTGTCAAATTTTGATCAAGATTTTTGTGACTAGCAAAATTTCGAACGTGAATAATTGCGATCGATAAAAAAATGGCTGAAACAACCATATGTCGAACTCCGATTGAGTGGAATTCAGCACTAGAGGTGCGCAAAAAAATTATTTATAGAATTTATGAGGACTTGATTTCATGTATAAGTTGGATATAGTTGCAGCACACAATTCTGTGAAAAGCTACATAACCCCGTATCTGCCTATTTCCCATTCGTATGCGGCTTTGATCAACAATTATTCTATACTTCCAAGTTGAGGTGAATCCCGAGAACCAGGTCCTGTGGATGTGAGCGGCGCTATTTGGACAGTGATGTACTTGATGTGCACACTGCGATCATCATGTATCCGACTACTGTATTGGTAATCTTTTGGCATTTCATCGATTTTTGTCCGAATGGCCATTGCAACAATGGCGGCAAGAGTCCGGTTTTGGTAAACGTGCGTGTGCACATGCAAGTATAGAAAAAGTTCTCGAGGGCTCGTCTCGTTTGCAATGTGAAACGGTATGAGAAACACAGCAAAATACAACAACATCACAAAGGTATGGAAAGCTTTTAGACAATATTTTCTATTTGGTCCCTTACGAAGTTTCATATGTGGACGGGTGAAACTCACCTGAAGAGCCCAGGTCCAACGGCTGGATAAGGCATCATCGTGTTCCAAACCGGCACAATGTTTGAACGTTTGTTCGATCACGGCAAAAAGACGATGCATTGTTGAGACCGTTAACGAGCCATCTTTTCCGTTCACAGTCCATGCGGCACCTAATATGTCCTGTTAGATAAGCGAAAATCTAGTGAAACTGAATGGCTCAGACACTTCAAGTATGAACTGGACGACAGGGTAAGTGTTGATACTTTTAGTGAACGCAAGAGAGAAAATATATTAACATGATCAGTAGGAGGGATTTACCGGTATATGCTGATTTCGAAACCCTTGGAGGAATTACGCAACACGAGGGGTAGAGGGAACATGGCCAAAAACTGAGAGCAGTGTCAGAAAGGGGCTTGCGAGAGCCCATAAACCTTATATCAGCCTTAAGGGGAAAACAAATAGCGTTATTAAAGATTTCATTATACCCTAGCGCAGTTTCCCAGCTTACCGGCGATTTGCAACCATCGGCTACAGTAGTTAATCAGTGTATATAACAATATTCAGTGCATGTAAAACACGTTACTATCATTAATGTGGTAAAAGCAGACATTACGCAAAGGAGTTGGTCCACTTACTTGGATGAACAGTGGTAAACCTGCAGAGCGTCGCGTCACACAGTAGCCCTTTCCCAAATTCTCAAGACACATTACAGGCAACCAACGAGCTCGGTCGAGCGTGGAAGCATGTGACGGCAATTTAACAGACACATCATCGACCAAATTGTTCAGAACAGTCTCTAACCAGACTATGGGGAGTTGCTTTATGGTATTGTCATCTGAACTGAAAGAAAACAAATTAAATAATTTATATTGTAACCAAAATTAGATAAACCTACCTTAAAAGTGCGCGACAGAAAGGGGAAAACCCAACCGAACACTGTTCGACTGCTCCACCGTGCCGTCCACATAGTAAGTGATAGCAGAAAAATTCGCTGATCTGCATAATCTGTGGGAGGGAGCATGAAAAAGTAAGGCACTGTCGATAGTAATTATGAGGATCTACGGAGGACACCAGGTTGCGTGGCTAACGTGCCTGAAGGATTCAAAGTTTTCTGCTATTATTCTTTCGCTACTCCCGAGTAGTATAAAGGGTACAGGGACTCGCATTAGCCGTAAGGGTCTTCTGATTGGACTGGTGCACTTTGAGTTTACCATGGTAACTCACTCGGGAAGCGATTCCACATTTCGATGCATCAATTGCGCTTTGACAGGTTTACAGATTACTGTTGCACCTGATCCATGACCCTGAACCGTTTTGAGGTTATGTGCGTTGAAGTCGTGTTGAGTTTCATTTCTGTATTCATAGTTTTGGCACGTGTACCAGAGATCTGAATCTCATCATAATTTTACTTGCTGAAACATTCGATTTATGTACACCAGTGGCCGAAATTCCAAATGCCCGAAACAACTGATCTTCCATATTGCCCTGATCTTCTAGGTTGATGTAACTAACAGACATGAGAGTAAAATCAGGTCAAGGTAACTTCAGTGGGACTCGAAATTGACCGAGGCGGTGTCCCGGTTCGAGGTGAACCAAAAGTGGGCATACTTTAGACTGTATATTCACCATCCCCCAACACACGTCGAAACGGTAATTATAATGGTTGATAGGAACACTACCGTCCAAAACGACCGACTTCAAGAAAATGGTGAGTAATGGGGACCAATCTTGGGAAGTCTAGATTGCTTATTTGTACTTAAAAACATGAAAATTGCAAGAAAATAACTTTGTCGACGGTATTACATGGCGCATCTGTTTTCGGAAAGAGATTAACCAAAGCTAGGAATACTAAAAACGCAAATCATTTATTTGGCGGGTAGGGGGCGGTTTGCAAGTGGGACAGGCGAGCAGAAGAGAAATCGGAAGTGCAGAGGCGAGTACGTGGGAGCAGAAACCGTGATGGGAAAGGGGAGGGGGGAGGGGGTGACAACGTTCTCGGGGTGAGCTGGTGATAGTATAGAAGAAGTTAGCGTTAGAGAACCGATGATACGGAGTCTTCCGTGGACCACGATTTAGGAGTTCAGAAGGTGTAAAGAAAAGCCCGGCGTATAAAGAAAAAAAAAAACTTTCCAGGTGCACGTGAGGTGAGGGGCATAACATCAACAGAGAGACGGAGAAGAACAGAGAAAAAGTGCGCAAATAGTTGCAGTTATAATGGTTTGGACGAATTTGGAAACAACTGGGGACAAAAAGACGAGTCAATTTCTGTTCTTGTTAATAGTAGGGGTCCCTCTATTTTAGCACTTGGAAAAAGTGGGCGACAATCCCACAAGGTGAAAGGAGGTTGATGGAACCGATTGAATAAACAGTAAAGAATGAAAGCCAGTTGTATTGTATTGTATTGCAAGTTATGCAAGTACAGAAGCTCACATTTCAGTTAAAAAACTACACATGCCAACCGTCACATAGAACATATATAACCGAGAGGAAAATGTTTACAGACAGCATAGGGACATTTCATAGTCCAGGATTAGGACGAATTTCACTTGTTTCCGTCTCTTTTTTGTGAGTAAAAGTGCAAAATAGGGTATAGATGAATTTCAGTTAACGTTTATACCAGTTTATATTGGTCGGAATCCAGAGGGTAAGAAAGGATGGGAACGACGTGCCAGTTCTGCGTGAAATGGGTGGTCAGAAACTGTGAGAATCCTTTCAGGAAATTTCACACAAAACCATATGATACTCTGAAAGTTTGATAGTTAACCCGTTCACAGAAATGAAAGAAACGCGAACAATAATAGCTAGAATGCGGCGTAATACAATGAAATCGTGCTTAAGCAAGCCAGGGAAAGTAACTGTGGAACACTAAAATAAGACTAGGAAAACACACTGATACATAAAGGTAGAGATAACTGACTGGGATGCGCGAAACTGCCTGAGCTTTCGAATTTGGAATGAAAGGCACCGCAGTTTAGCAATGCAGTTGTAAATGTGGGTTGACCAAGGATAATTGCTATCTATGTTTATACCGAGATATTTGAATGAGTTTACTCTAGCTAAAGGATTATTATCTATCACCGTGGAGTCTGTTGGGTATCAGGAACGTGCAAAACTATATAAACATTCAACACTTGTGCTAGGGTTTAAGCTCAGTCATGATTGGGAGGAGAATCACTGAATCTGACCAATATTGTCGGCGAACGAACTAAGATCGGAGGAAGAAGAAATGGGTTGGCACAGCACAACATCATCTGCATGTTTCAAAAGTGCAGGAGAAACACAAGGAATTTCCTGAAAGCAAGTTGAAAATAACTATGGGGATAGCACAGCTACTTAAAGGAATCCGGAGTTGTTGACTACGTGTTCAAATGAAGCCTTCCCAAGTCAAGTGGCTTGTTCTCTATCCGTAAAATAGTTGGATAGCCCAGCTAATAATTCTTTGGAGTGGTGTTGGTCAAGTGGTTAGGTCAACAACATGTGACCTCGGGTCCCGAGTTTGGACCGCTCCACAGCCGCCCGTCTTCCCCATTTCTGTAATTTGCCAGGCAGCCTTTGCATGGCTCGGCCCCCTTCCTAAAGGTTGGCTGTACATTTGTATATTCAATAAATTAAAAAAGAAAGTAAGAAGATAATCATCATTTTATTTATTCAAAGGATTCCAGTTTCTGTAAAAGCTTTGACCGACGAATGTAATCAAAGGTAGATGAATAGACAAACAGATTTGAAGATTAAGGGATAAAACTAATAAGGGTAGCGAGTGCGTTTCAAGTAGATCTTTTAGGCTTGCAAGAAAACTGTAACACATAGTGGGGAGTTTTTACAGATTACTGAAGGCGTTTGGGGATAGTCTTTCCAATCAATGTTAACGCTATGAGATGAAAACAAACGAAACGGAGAGGACAGAAGATTTGGATGCTTTGGAGATAGGTATGGTTGCGACCGGCCTCCAGCAGTCTGGAATAGTGGGTGTGTACAGTGATTCATTTACACTGGAGGTGATTTGCCCCACTAGGGAAGCAGCACCAAAGGGTGCTGTAGATAAACCATTCGGGCCTGTGGCAGAGGACGATTTGCAACTATTTAAAAGTTATAACATATCGCAATTTGAGAATGGTTCCACATGACAAACATTGTGTGACGATTGGGCAGGAAGAATGTCTGATGACTGGCACAGGAATGCAGCATTATGAGCATCAACATGGACATCCATCTTCGACCGGACTTTCTACCCTCCACAGGGAATTCCGATACCTTAACATATGTTTTCAGTCCTCAGAATTCGACCGGAGAATAATGCGTTTAATCTACTAGTTTCAAGTTTGATAAGCTTGGACAAGTGTCCAACAGCTAATGCATTATGGGACTGGTATGCACGTTTCTTTTGTTTTCACATCGCCTCCGAAAGCTTCAGTATGGTCGGGGGTGGGTGTCTAGGGTTGCGGCTGGTCACTTTGCCCTTGCACCTCGCGAAACGCTCCCATACGACCAAGCGTCTCGAATAGCCACTGCTGAGGAAGTCCTACGCACGGCCTTCTCGTGGCTGAGGTGTTTTTGCACGAAAGTGAGAGGACGAAAAGCCGATATCCAGGGCTATAAACAGGTTGGTGAACCACTGACGGTTCACCTAGGGGAGTCGGCCAAAAACCCTGATTCCAAACCAACCCACATGTTTTCGGTTGTGGCAGTGGTCATCGGTTCAATTGGGCATTGAGGTGTATTGGGCACCTTGGACGTCTGACGTCCGAAGAGGGTATAATCCAATGAACTGGACACCGGCTCCCAAACACCGCCCCGCTGCCTTGTGGGTCAGGCTGCGGCTAGCCGAAGGCTCCGGTTGTGGATTCCTCAAGAAAATTCACCTGCCTTGGCCTGGACAACCTGGTAGTATTCAGCCCAAAAGCCAATCATGGAGCGGTTTTCTTTGATAAAGATTATTTTACCATGATCTGTTTGGCACGCAGTCTGTCCTCAGACAAGTGTGATATATATATATATATATATATATATATGTAGTGAAGAAGTTATCATTCTGATGGACACATACAGACTTTTAACAAGACAGTATTAATTATACATGGCATTTATTGTTTGGATGAATAGGACACATGCGAAAAGAGAAGATGGAGATGATGAAAATCATAAAGAAGCCTATTTGAGAGATTCATTCTGTTTGACTCGTAGTTACTTGTGAGCAGTGGTGTGGGATAATTGATATTTTGTTGATTTCGGCTGATTATCCTTAGGATTTCACCTTCACGCAGAATCCTCAATTTATCGACTCAACCATACACTCGGAAGCACTAGACTCAAGTTTCGCTCTTATTGGAGCTCATCAGTAATGCATACCCACCGTCCCGTCTGGAATTTGAACTCCGGACCCATCGCATGGAAGGCGTGTGCGTTACCACTGTACCAACCAGCGCATACCATTGCTGAACCAAATTGTCAATTCAGGTTTGTTCAGGTGCCGTCTTCAGTGATAGTCAGTTCATTTTGGCCCGACAGTAACGAAGGGAGACACAAATGACATACTCCAATCGAAAGCCTCCCACCACGCAGGTACGGACTAATACGCCAACGAACCTACGAAGCAGGATTGATATTTCGCATATGACTCACAGTTACTTGTGAGTAGTCGTGTGGGATAATGGATCTTTAATTTTTTTATTTATAATTTTTAAATTAAATCAATCCGTGCCTTTTGTGCAAAAGAAAGACGGGCTTGGTGGTTCGTGATTGCTCTTTCCAGTATAAAGTTATCTCTGGTGGTTGAGTGACAAATATCTGTCATAACTAATGATAAAAGAGGATACGTAGTAGCGTACAGTTTTGTCGGATAATGAGTGGAATGTCATTCGGATCAGGTGACTTAGAAATATAAAACTTCGATTTCTGGTGAATAAATTTATGTCCAGAAAGGAAAAACATTAAGGGGATGCAGAAACGGGTATAGAAAAACGACATAATGTTTATATGGAAGTATAATAAACGTCCTTGCATGAGACAAAATAAATGAGACAAAGGTACTGACTTGCGTTTGTGATAGACCAAAAGCGCCCATTGGAACCGGCAGACACAGTTCGGCTTGTTCGGAAATCCAACAACGACCGATTCGAGGGAGATAGTACCCGAGCAACGCCGCCAATTCACGCACAGTGCGCCAGCAGCAAATGGTTAAGTATTCTGGGTACTGTTTTGTTTGATCAACAAGATCCAACAAGGTTTCCAGCTTTAAGAAAAAAGGAAACAATTTTAAAAAATTGCATCGGATGTAGTGCAATCGCGACCGGTAATCGCACAACCAACTACTAATTATTCCGGTGAATATAATGCATTTAGCCTCAAGCTGAGCACAAGAAACCGTAGCAAGTAATCATGTGGTGCGAAAAGTTAAGTTGGAAGAGGCTACACCAACTGATAGTTGTAAATCTGTATCCGAACATTCTAAGAAAACACGAAAGTAATCAGTCGAACGAAATAACCGGAATTTAAAAAAACAACGCACTTGGCTACGGTTAACAAACAACCTGACCGGGAGACGATACAAGGGGGATGGTGGAAATAGTTCCAATGAAACCCGTTATTGCAAAAGATCCTGAGAACTTAGTCGTCCTTTTCAGTTAAAAAACCGGCAGGACGGTGCTTTAGAACTTAAACAAAAATAGAGATTCTCCTGAAGCAGTTACAGTTCAGCGGAAGGAGCGATTCATGAATCAGTTTGTGGCACCAAACAGGAAGGCTGCTACACCACAATTTATTCATGGTCTCAATCACGTTCATTCATAAGGGTGGTGTTATATGCTGAATCGTTCAATTTTATTGCGTGATTTAGAGGCGTCGACGTTATAAGAAAAGCATATGAAAAGACTACCGCCATTCGAATACATTTATCTTCGTGTTAGGATTCGAATATATTAAGCAAACCAACTGGGTGACGGTGAGCTCAGGCGCAGGGTACTGCCAAATTGTGATAGCAAACTGAACCCAGTACCCGGGAACCAATGCCCGGAAACCGCATCAACGAGTGTCCAATGTTTGAGTAAGTCGACACTAGCTGGAAACGGTAACGAGGTGGGCAACGAGTAA